CATCGTTCAATAATATTTATTATGCGAATTTAAAAATTTCTTATTTAGGAAACAACTGATCCTGAAAAAAAACTTGAAATTCTTTATCATTCACGAGGATTTTTCAGTGGTGAACAAGCTGGTCATATTGTATCATCAATAAGACGACCAAAAGATCGAATGAAGGCCATTTTGATATTAGAACCAGTATAAAATTTTATACGAGGAAAAGAAAACGAAATTTTCTATCTATTAAATAATTTTAGCGTTTAATTCCAATGACGTGTCAACAAGCACGAAATATTCTTGCTTCTATTACCGTACATAATGATCGTCTTGAAGCGCTTCAATATGTAAAAAGGTTTGAATATTAATATTTTTCTTTCTGAACAGTACTATTATTTATATATATTAAAAGAGCTCTTAATGATGCACAAACACAAGAAGGAACTGACTACATATTGAGTGTTTTTCCATTTTATGAAGATAAATTAAAAGCGGGTTAGTTTACTTTTTTTTTGTTTCAAAAGAGCAAAAATAATTTTATGTGGGTATTTCACTTTATTTTTTTAGGCGCTATTTTGGAAACGGTAAATAGAAATAAATACAATTAAAGTAATATTTTATTTGTTCTTTTTTTTATTCAAATTAGATTATTGCACGAGAAGGCGTTCGAGTAGCTGCAGGTGGACATCTTGGTTATGGTGCACTTGGCTCATCTGTTGTTCGTGCTGCACCATTAAATCCACATTTTTACGGACCTGTAGCTGCTCAAGTAGCTCATTTACCTGTAAGTAATAAGAAAAATTTAAATACATTTTTCGGTTTGGATACACCGGAGGTCGCTAAGCGATAAAATCGGCTCTCTTCCAAAATTGAGTTCATTATTTTCCCAATAGTCAATTAAGATGTCAGAAGTCGATTGTTGCTTGAATTAAACCATTAGACCTAATTCTGGCTGTGTGCAACTCACTCAAAACTTGATGTTACTACCTATCTTTTATAATTTCATACTATATGATGTTTCTATGAAATGTTTTCCTCTTGTCTTCAACTCCTTTGGTTTCAATTATACATTTAATGAGAGATTTTTGTTTGTTCTATCGAATGATATATAGGGAGTTTGACAAAATGTTGTTCTTTTCCTTTTCTTGTTGCGTGACATTCTTCGCTTGTATGCACTATATGAGAGTAGTCATGAAAAAACTTCCTAATTAGTATTTTTTTTAAAGCAGTAACCCACTTCCAATGTTATATTATTCTATAGGCTTTTCAAATTGCTACAAGATGATACTAGTTATGTTGAGCATTATGTGTAAGAAAGATACTTTGGCCAAACGCACAATGCTCATGAGTGCCAATAATTGTCTTTTTTAAACTGATATTTGATCGACTTTCGTCGGAATAATCAGACTTTCTATCAAAACTGATAGTATATTTGTTTTCGATGTAATCCTGACAGGAACTATGGTTAAATATTTGCACAAAAATAAAAATTGTCGGAGGATTTTGTAAAATATATAGATCCATTCAGTTTATTATTCTGACTTCAAATATCAGTCACAATAAAGTAACTTTTGGCATTCATGAACACTGTACGTTTGATTAAAGTGTCTTGCTTACAAATAAAGCTCAATATAATAGTATTATTTTTTTGTGGAAATTTGAAAAGCCTATCAAATGATAGATAATTTCCAGTGGACTACTGCTTTAAAAGTACAATAGTGAGAGAATTTCGTCATGGCTGTTCTTATATTGTAGTTATAAACGAACAATGTCACACAAAAGAAAAAGGGAAAAAACAATACTTTGTCAAACTTCCTGTGTGCCATTCAATAGAACAAACCAGGAATTCTTATTAACACATTCGAGACGATATGGATATTGTTTTTTCATAATTCGTCAAAGGTTCTGATTCTTTATTCATGGCAGTTGTAATACTTCAAAATCAGCTTTTGTCAACGTTTCTCGTATAGATCTGAGCTATGAATATTTTGCTTTATTAGTGGTAAAAGAATCAGCTCCTTTGGTCAAAATATGGCATAGATATTCAAGTTTTTCTGTGCTAAAGAGACTTTTGGGTCACCATGTAGTGCGTCTTACCGGTGGGTCTCATCGAGTTGAATGTGTTAAATATATCATTGAAATTAAAAGAATTGAAGACAAGAGAAAAATATTGTATATCATGAACCTATAAAGAATAGGTAGTCAAAATGAGTTATGAGTGAGCTGTGCGCAGTCAGAATGAAGTCTAACGGTCTAATTCGAGCGGCAATCCACTTCTTACATCTGAATTGACTTTTGAGGAAATAATAAATTCAATTTTGAAAATGATTCAATTTCATCGCCCAACGACCTTTCTCTCTCCACCATCCTTTATTATTTTCTTCTAAATAGAATCATAGTCAAGAAACAACAACCGCACGTAATATATTTCCTCCAAAAGTTCCATCGATTTATTCATTTGGCGAATCATATCTTCCATCGACTCGACCAACGGATATACATGCTCATTACACATCTAATACAAACGATAATATTAATCGTCAATATACAGGAATAAATGCAGCACCAACATATATTTACCATGCAACTGATCCAGGTCCAGTAGGTTATGCAAATTTACAATCCAGTACAGCTCCAAATGCATGTGATGTTACACCTCAATTACATCAACAAACACATTCATATATGAGTTATCCAAATAGTTATACATCAACTTGTCCTAATCCTGTCACAAGCCATTAAAATTATATTAGCGCCTTGATTATTTTTTTTTTCTTTCTTCACCAACAAATATGACTCTAAAGACAAGTGCCTATCACATAATAAGCTTTATTTTTTTAGTTAAAAGAAAAGTACCATGCTTAATGTTTTTTTGTTCATCATTTTAATTATAACATTGAATAAATACTCATATTGGTTTCTGATCAACATTCATTATTATTGAAAGAACTCGAGAAGTCTTGAAGTGGAAAAGAAAAAAACACACATAGAGTATTGACGGTCAATATGAAAAATAAAATTTGTAAGTGTCAAAAGAAAACTGTGATTGTCAACTAACTAAAAATCAAAAACAATATATTTGCCGTCAATTTTTCAATTGAATGACTTTATTTTTCTTATTATTGCTGATGGTGGTAGTGGTGATGGTGGCGAATGTTATTGTTATTCACGATTGGTTGGTAAGAAAAGAAGAAATCAATTATTTTCTTTTCATTATACAAAAGAAAAGAAATTCCGTCGAACAAAAAAGTATGTGAACAGATTTGTGCATTATTACACTATTTGAGTTACTGTGGTGTCTCCATCAATTCTTGTTTTTTTCTTGTTGTTAAACAAAGAAACATACCAAACGTTGTATTCATTTTATATATATATATATACACGCACATATATATATATATATATATAGTTAGGAAATGGCTTGTAAGTATAATGAAAAACAAAAGAAATATTGTTTTTAATGAATTTGAGTAGTTCATGGTCCGACATTTTCCAATGAAACACATTATGGAGCATTATCAAGTACGCGACAACGATTTGGTAATTTAAGTGCTAATATGTTTTTTGTACGTCCTGCTCGTCATGTCGCTTGTCCAAGACGTTTAAAATATATTCATGGTATTATTGAAATTTGTTTTTTTATTTACATGTTCCACTTTTAATGATTATAGATATTGCAACTGGATATATTCCATATGTTGAAGATGCCAATTATATGAATCAACCATCATCTAGATATGCATTAAATCAAAGAAATAATAATGATATGAATAATACTAATGGTTTAGGTTTTTGTAAGTTTTCAATTTTTATTGTAGAATAAAAGAAAAGTATTTTAGTATTATGTAAAGATGTATCTTCATAGTCGCTAATGAAGTGTGTAAGATTAAATATAGATCTATTTTTGAATGATAAAACATAAAATTTTTAAAATCTAAGTAATTCTCATGATATAAAATCATCGAACTCATTTTTAATGATTTGTTTTTGTTTTTCATATATATTATTCCTATATATTACATTTCAATGTCATATTAATTTAACTTTTATGAAAAAAATGTAAATTTCATCGATAAAAATAAGGTTTCTATTCTTTTTAGGCAATGTAGCTGATGCATGGCGTCAGCAGTTAATGGAATTAGCACAACAAGTAAAAACTTCTCTTACATTCGCTGATGAACAAGGATCATATATTCGTTCACCTCGATCAACTCGTTCAAGTAAACATCGTCATAAACAAAGTCGTACGGCAGCATCAAATAATAATGTTGAAGAAAATAATGAACAAAATCTTTCAAAACGATTATTAAATCGACATACAAGTCCACGTTATCAATCTCCACGAATAACTAAATCTAAATCTAATGAAAAATCTGAACAAGAACAACCAACTAATGATGAAAATCAAGATTCTGGAATTTGGGTAATTTATTTTACAAAAAAAAAAAAATAAAACAATTTAAAAAAAAACAAAATTTTCTTTTAAAGTTAATTCCAATTCTTTGTTATATTTTACAAATTGATAATGTAGCTGAAGCACAAGAGTGGCTTATTAATGCAAATCCAACTGGTTTGATTAATTATATTGAAATATATCCATATGTTTTCTCTTTTTGATTTCTATAGAAAAACGTTTAGCTAGAGAATTAATTAGTCGAACAATGCAAGATATGCAAAATCAAGATAGTGATTTTACATCAGATCTTTCAACTTTTGATCAATCTTCAACAACAACAACAACAACAAATTTTAATAAGTATTTAATTTTACAAAAAAACGAATCTTTCTTCATAATCAACGGTTCATTTTCTCTTTTTCTGTTTAGTGTTTATTGGCCATATAAAGTTTGGCAACGACAAGAAAAAGATCGTCAACAACAACAAATACAACAATTATTAAAACAATCTAAATTAAATTTATGTACATCATTACCATCATTAACTGTTGATAATAATGAAACATGTGAACGAGCTACATCACCACTTCGAATAGTTACACCAGCTAAACGTATATTAACAGCAGCAACAACAACAACAATAGCAACAAATAATAATAATAATAATAATTGCCCTTCCGTTGAAACAATTATTATTGAACGATCACCAACACGAAATATAAATGAACGATCATCAACACGAAATATAAATGAACGAGCAACAACAGCAATACCTGTTCGAGAAAATCAAAGTCAAATGACAGGTTTATTGAAAAAAAAAGAAACTTTACATATGTTTTTTTTTAATGTTTTAATACATTATTTTCTTTTTTTTTTCTATAAAGATCGATCAACTACGGCAAAATTACGTCCAATTTCCAGAAATTCAACACCTGCAACAGCGAATGGAAGTGATCGTCCATCTCGTCGTGGTCATCGTGTAGCGACAAGTATAAGTATTTGTACAGATAATAATACGAATCGAACATCAGCTGCATTACGAGGCAAAACTCCACTTGTTTAGATAAAAAAAAAAGAAAGATAACATTCGTCATAAAATAAGATTTAAAAAATATATATATTTTTGTAGTTTTCTTTTTCTTATTTGCACGGAACACAATTAAATTATTTTTATTTATTTATAAAGAAAAAATAATTTTTTAATGAACACAAGTTTTTTTTCTTTTTATAAATCAATTTTATCAAATAATAGATTATATTTTTTTTCAATGAATAAACGTTTATTTTTCTATACGATAAAGAATAAAATATTTTTCACGATTTATCATTGAATTAGTATTTTTTTTTTATATATTTAATTTGTTCAATATAAATATCTAGTTTCAAGTAATAATATCATTTATTATTTAAACTGTTATACTCACAATTATGTAATGTAATAATTAAAATTTAGATATATATTATGTATAGTATGCATGTGTTTATTCGTATAGTTTCATTGATTTATTAGAATTTATTTTTTACGTTGCGTTGGTACTTTATGTGATTTAACAAGTGTTAATAATGATGAATGTCGCGTTTCGATATTACCATATTTTGCTTTATCTAAAAATAAAATAAATAGATGATTGATATTTCAATCTTACATATCGTATTTGTATCGTGTAACAAATATATTTTTTCATGTTCATAAATATATCTCAATGAAATTTTTATGGTTTTGTTAAAAAAAAATTATTTTAAACTTTGAAATAATAGAATTTTTTCTAATTTAAAATAAAAATTTGTTTTCTATGGGATTCTAATTTCTTTATAAGTCTTCGATTTGATTCTTAATATAGAGATTAGTTTTGAAAATATTTACATACAAATAGCTATTTTTTTAGCCAATATTTGTAACGCCATTAATGAAGTTGTTCTATCTCGTTTTTCAAAAACATGTTGTTTATTTTTCGGTTCTTGTTTTGATTGTAGTCTTGATGGAATTGTAGTTGACGATTTAGGTGGTGAACTTGAACGCTGTTGTCTAATGGTTTGTATTGGTGAATTAGCTCTAGCTGAATTACATCTTACAGTATGTACAATAGTAAGAGTTCAGAGTACTCTGTCACTAATATGACACAAAAACATTTGAGTATTTTATAAGTTTTTAGCATTTGACTATAAAATGCTTCTAAATGTTTAATCTACTAACTTGTTGAGAAATTTTTTCATACAATCTTCTATAGAAACTGTGCAGGTACCTGGACTAAGACAATTCTCAGCATGTTACCGAACTAAGATCTTGTGACATACTATATATAAGGTATCCGAAAAGGTACTCTGCTGACAACTGAATCAGTATACGAGTACTTTGAAATATATATATATATATATATATATATA